AACCTAGTCACAAGCAAAGAATCAAAAGAAAGTGAAAGAAAACAACTCACCAAATCCTATGGTCTAAACTGAATTGTGTTTCCCTGACTTTTTTCCTTTTCCACCCTTAATATCCATGTCTCATTTATCTTTGTCTATCTGTTTTTGAGAGGGGGGAACTTAAGAAGCAATAGAATTTAAATCATAGTGTTGTAAGTTAGCATTTTGATAGTGGTGAGAGACAATTTGTTTGTAATAAACAATTACTTCCTTGTTAAGTGCAGAAACCTGGTGAGTTTAACAGTCTTATAAATTGGTTACATTGGATTATTTGACGAAAATGTTTCATATTTGTGACAACTTTGGGAATGGTGGGCCTTGATTTCCAATGCACCACTGCAGGTGGTGACAAAAATGAACAACTTCACTTTTTCCCACATTAGACTACATTTACCAGATTTCTGTTCACTCATTTAATCTATCCATATCAATCTGCATTCTTGTTATGTCAGCTTCACAATATCCATTTTTCTGTCATCTGCAAATTTAGCCACTGGGTTTCAATCCGCTCATCCAAGTCACTGATCTAAATTTTAAAAAGTTGAGTTCCCAGGATGGACACCTGTACGACCCCACTCATCACAACCTGCCAATCTGAAAATGATCCATTTATGCATAGACCGTTTTCTCCAGCCAACCTTCTATCCATGATAATATGTTACCCCATACCATGAGCTCCTACTTTGTCCAATATCTGTTGCCTCAACCCAATTGAGAAGAATGCACTAATAATCAAGTCCTAACATTGCACAAGCTGTGACAAATACATCTGCTTCTGATTAAACCATAAAAAAATCAAATTATCTGCTGACTAGCTAACTGCAAAACCCAAAAATAATACACATGAGATTTTGTCATGAACCGGTAAACTCTATTATAAATACTTACAATTTAACAAAGTGAAAAGGTGGATTATTAAATACTAAGCTACTATTATTAAACTTAAGTGATACCCCTTGTACTCCAAATACACATTCGATCAACAACAATGTACTGCACATTTACTATAAATGGGGAAAAAAAAATACAATCAGTGGAAAAAAACAGTTCTGCATCACAAATCCAAACCACAAAATTTGAATGAACAGTTCTCGGTCCTCTTGATTTTTATCAATGATGTCACAATCTTGTCTGCAAATTATGAGCAGTCTTTATTTCACTGATTGATTAGTTGGACCAATTATTTTTCCTTTTCCTTCATGTTTCAGAATTCTTTCCTTCAATGTCTCCACACCATAACCCTAACCCTTACGTTTTATGCTCCTTGATGTTTCTCAGCTGTATAGATTCTACATTGTCAGAGGTTATATCCTTCCTCACTATTGCCCTAATTTCCTCTTTAACCAGCAATGCCACTTTACTGTCTGCTCCTTTTTGTCTGTTCTTCCTAAATACTGAATACCTCTGGATATTCAGTTTTTCCCATCTCCGGTCACCATGCAGCATACCTGTTTTCATCTACTTGCATGATTAATTCATCTACTTTATTGCAAATGCTCCAAGTGTTAAAACACAAAGCCTTAAGACCTTTCTTGCAGTCTCTCGTTTATAGCCATATCCCCTTACAAATGAATCCCCTGTAACTACTGCATTCCCACATTTTTTACTCCTGCCTTATGCAGCAGAGCTAACTGTGGTGCAATAAATTTGGCTGTTGCTGCTTTCACTTGAAAACCCATTCCTCTTAGCATTATCCAAAGTGGTCTATCTGTTTTGCAGGGGAATAGCCACAGATTTCTACACTGCTCATCTAGTCATCTTGCTCTGCCTGATGGTCACCCCTTCCCTTCCTGCCTGTGGAGTCTTAGCCTGCTGTGTGACCAGGTCTCTTCATGTGCTATCCACGATACTCTGCAGCTCACAGATGCTCCAGATTGTCTCCAGCCACCACTCCAGTTCTGAAACCCTGCCTTCCAGGAGCTGTAACTGGAAACACCTTCTGCATACATGCTGGCCCCAGCACTGGCAATGTTCCAGGCTTCCCACATAGAATGAGAAGAGCACCCTCTGGCTTTGCATTCTCCTGACATGACTTATCCCTTTAAATTAAATCTTTGGAAGATGCTTCATGTCAAATACTATAAGGCCCTTATTTTCTGGTCTTCATTACTGATCATCCATATAAACTACAAAGTACAAAATAAGGGAAAAAAAAATCACCTCTACCCCTCCACATTCCATCCCTCCCTCTTCCTGGCTGTGTTCTTGCCCAACTGCTTGTGTGAAGCTTACTGATTGTGCACTTTTAACATACCCCCTCTTAAATAGAGCTGAGGTGAGCTGCGATGACACACACTTGTTCAGCTTCAAAGTCATCAACATCTTATAGGTGCTACCTGTTAAGCAGTGATAGCACTACATGAGAAGTAAAGTAAACAAAGAACTTTAGGCCCTTTTGTGGCACAGAGGTAGTGTCGTTAACCCTGGACTGGGAGTTCTAGGTTCAAGCCCCACCAGCTCCAGTGGTGTGTAGTAACATCTGTGAACAGATTGATTAGGATAATAGGTTAAATAAAAATAACACAAAGAATTGCAGATTTTGGAGATCGGAGACAAAAACAGAAATTGTTGGCAAAACTCAGCAGGTTTCTGAACTGATAAAGAGTCACTGGACATGGAATGTTAACTGTGCTTTCTCCCACAGATGCTGTCAGACCTGGTGTGTTTCACCAGCAATTTCTGTTTTTGTTACTTGACGCAAGTGCTTTGGTCAGAAATCTCATAACAGCCACAGCTGGAATTCTTCATTGTAACTGATCAAAGTCTTTCCAGCTTCTCAGTTTCACTGAAGAAGTTCATCCCACTGTGCACTCACCTCATTGACCAACAGGATTTAGCATTAAAACAACTAATAAATGACTTCTTAGTATATGTGAAATTAGATGATTTGGTAATGTTTAGGGTTTGGGGTTGGACATTTAGCTGTGACAGTCTGACCTAATGTGACTGAGAATCTAGGGAAGGCATTGGAACAGGTGAGTAGAATGCAATTTCCTTTTTGAGGTTTTATGTTATTACATTGGGAAGTACTGCCCTAACCCACAATCTGAAGTCAGATAATTGCAGTGGTGTTTGTCTGTTTAGAGTGGTGGCAGAGATGTAGGTCTCAGTGTTAGCAACCTAACCATAGGAATTATTTCTGGTTGATGTTACAGAGAGATAATGCATAAACAAGAAATAGTTGGGCCCTTGGTTGAATCCTTGAGTATCCCTTGAGTTGACTATCCAGAGGAGAGCATAAAGGTCACAGCACAGGGACATGGAACATTATGATTGTGAAAACAACTTAAGCCTGTGACTTGGAGGTGGATCATAAAGAGGAAATTTGGAGCATTGAATTCTGAATCTTCTTAAATTGTGCAGGGAAACCTAGGTGAGAAAAACAGAATCATCAATCAATCATTGAATCCCTACGATGTGGAAACAGGCCCGTTGGCCCAACAAGTCCACACCGACCCTCCGAACATCCCACCCACACCCATCACCCCATAATCCACCCAATCTACACATCCCCGAACACCACGGGCAATTTAGCATGGCCAATCCACCTAGCCTGCACATCTTTGGACTGTGGGAGGAAACCGGAGCATCAGGAGGAAACCTATGCAGTCACCGGGAGAATGTGCAAACTCCACACAGTCATATAAATAGTGACAACAACAGGAAGTCAGAGCCTAGGAATCCTTCAGTGAATAACTCACTTCCTTACTCTCCAAAATATGTCTATCTACAAGGCACAAGTCAGGAGTGTGAGGGTATATTCCCCATCTGCCTAGATAAGTGCAGTCCAGCACTTAAGAAACTTGACACCAACCAGGATAAAGCAGCCCACTTGATTGGCGCCACATCTTCAATCTTTCATTCCTTCTACCACCGACAGACAATAGCAGCAGTGTACTATTTTCACCATGTAAATTCACTTAGACAGCACCTTCCAAACCTACACCACAAACACAAAGAAGAACAAGGATACCAAATATATGGGAAGACCACCATGGCATGTTTCCCTCCAAACCACTCATCATCCTGACTTAGAAGTACATTGCCATTTCCTTCATTCCCCGACAACATTGTGGCTGTAACTAAACATAATGGATTGCAGCGATTCAAGAAGGTGGCTCATCACCATTTTCTCAAGGACAACTAGGGATAGACAATAAATAAAAACTGAAAGAACTGCAGATGCTGTAAATCAGGAGCAAATTTAGAAGTTGCTGGACAATAAATGTTAGAAATGCCCACATCCTATGAATGAATAAAAAGTCCCATTGAGCTGGACTTTGACATACTTTGTGTTAATAAAACCTCCTGTGTTCACACAAGCTATAATTCCAGATATCTCTGCTCCGGCATACAATTAACTAAGAGTGCAGTTACCTCACTAGTAGACAGTTTGTCTATCACTAAGACTGAGAGAAACGACAATTTATGCAGATTAAGTAAATACTGTCTGCAAGTACACTGTTGAGCTGGACTCATTGCTCTGGGCATCATGAGAGAATAAAATTTAAGCAGCGGATGGTTAGGATTTTAATGCACTGCCTTTTCTGGGGTAGTTTTGTTAGTAGCTTTCGAAAGGAAAGTATTTGAAGGAGAACAGTTTAGGAAACTGGGGAAAGAACAGGAAAGCAGGATTCAGAGATAGTAGGAACTGCCGATGCTGGAGATTCTGACATAACAAGGTGTAGAGACAACAAGGTGTAGAGCTGGATGAACACAGCAGGCCAAGCAGCATCAGAGGTTCAGGAAGGCTGACGTTTCGGGCCTAGACCTTCTTCTGAAATGGGGGAGGGGAAGGGGGAAGGGGATCTGAAATAAATAGGGAAAGAGGGGGAGGCGGATAGAAGATGGATAGATCCTCTGATGCTGCTTGGCCTGCTGTGTTCATCCAGCTCTACACCTTGTTATCTTTTGGAGTTACTTATCGGCCTGCCCCATTCCCCGTTTCAATGGACGTGCAGTCAGGTCGGGTCAGTGGTGACATCACCGTCAGCACGCGCCTCTGGAAATTTCTAGAAAGCGCAACTGCAGCGGTGAACGGTTGAAAATGGCGAATAAAGTGGGGGTGAGCCTCTTCTGTATAAACGGGATACGAACATGAAACACCTTTCATCTTTATACCCTTTAACAACGTCCAGCGTAATCCGGCTCTTACGGTTTTCTCTGGAGAGAAAAACAAAGTTTATGTTTGGGATGGGCGGAGAAGCTTGCTTTTACTGCTGGCGGGGGTCACATGCGTTAATTTCCTTAAACAAGCCGATACCATGCGACGTTCAGTGTCTGTCTACAATAACACGGCTCTCAACCAAAGGTTTAATAGCATTAAACATCGAGCTGCGAGCATGTGTTGTTGAGAGTTCGCGGCAGTCTTTTGAAGTTTTACTCTTTTCAGTTTAGTTTGCTCCCTGTCTGTTGATCAATGCCGGGAACTATTCAAATGTATTTACATGGTGCGTACCTCCTAGCAGGTTTACAGGTGTCTGCAAGTGAATTAGTGGCAAATGGTTTGCTGGGCTGTGTCCTACTGATGTTTCCTTCTATAGCAGTTTCATCTTAGAGTTCAACGTCAATTTCCATTTGCTGTGAAATAATTTTGAAAGTTTGTTTGAATCATCAAATTGTCTTAAGTGTCACGTAGGAAAGGAGGGATGAACAGCTTTTGTGATGTTTAGTATCGAAGACATACGGCAGTTTATAGATTGTCAGTGTTTCACATTCTTTCGGAGTACTTGACTTCGAGTTCGGGGCTTCTGAGCTTGAGCAGCTTATCACTCTGTATTTAGGGAGCGGATAAAAATATTTTTACGTTGCGTGTACCTTCCAAAAAGTTGTTAGCTTGAAGGCAACGCAATGTAGTGGGGAAGGGAATTGAACGATTGTGCATTAAAATTGGCGCGATTGATAAGACAACTTCTGAATCTCCCGAATAGAAGTAGGCAATTCAGCCCCCCCAACACCTCATCTTTACCATGGACGTCCAGTCCCTCTACACCTGCATTCCCCATGCAGATGGCCTTAAGGCCCTCCGCTTCTTCCTGTCCCGCAGGCCCGACCAGTTCCCTCTCCACTGATAGCCTCATCCGCTCAGCCGAACTCATCCTCACACTCAACAACTTCTCTTTCAATTCCTCCCACTTCCTACAGACAAAGGGGGTAGCCATGGGTACCCGCATGGGCCCAAGCTACGCCTGCCTCTTCGTAGGTTACGTGGAATAATCCCTCTTCCGTACCTACACCGGCCCTAAACCCCACCTCTTCCTCCGTTACATTGATGACTGTATCGGCGCCGCCTCGTGCTCCCACGAGGAGCTCGAACAGTTCATCCACTTCACTAACACCTTCCACCCCAACCTTAAGTTTACCTGGACCATCTCTAACACCTCTCTCCCCTTCCTGGACCTCTCTGTCTCCATATCGGGCAACCACCTCGAAACCGATATTCATTTCAAGCCCACCGACTCCCACAGCTACCTAGAATACTCCTCCTCCCACCCACCTTCCTGCAAAAATGCTATCCCCTATTCCCAATTCCTTCGCCTCCGCCGCATCTGCTCCCAGGATGAGGCATTCCACTCCCGTACATCTCAGTTGTCCTCGTTTTTCAAGGACCGTAACTTCCCCCCCTCAGTGGTCGAGAACGCCCTCAACCGTGTCTCCCACATCTCCCGCACCTCATCCCTCACACCCCGTCCACGCAATAAAAACCAAAAAAGAATCCCCCTCGTCCTCACGTACCACCCCACCAACCTCCGGATCCAACGCATCATCCTCCGACACTTCCACCATCTGCAATCCGACCCCACCACCAAAGACATCTTTCCCTCCCCACCTTTATCTGCTTTCCGGAGGGACAACTCTCTCCGTGACTCCCTTGTCCGCTCCACACTCCCCTCCAGCTCCACCACACCCGGCACTTTTCCCTGCAACCGCAGGAAGTGCTACACCTGCCCCCATACCTCCTCCCTCACCCCCATCCCAGGCCCCAAGAAGACTTTCCACATCAAGCAGATGTTCACCTGCACATCTGCCAATGTGGTATACTGCATCCGCTGTACCCGGTATGGCTACCTCTACATCGGGGAAACCAAGCGGAGGCTCGGGGACCGCTTTGCAG